TTGGTTTGGACTGGGTGGTGGGCTCTACTCTCCCTCAACCATTTTACCATTGTGTACTTTGTAAAGGGCCTGCCTATGTACGTTATCTGCTGGCTCCTTTCTTTACTAATTATTTTATATTACTGCTGATTGTTGTTTTCCTCTTTAGGAAGTGATTCCCTTTCCTCTGATTCCACCATCCCCGGAACCTGCCCTTAACCCCTCAGAGGAGTGAGGTTAGTTGTTGTTTCCTGAGCGTTTCCATTTTTTTCCCTTAAATCTTTGATTCCTTCTCTGTCATTAATTCCCACTCTTTTATTTCAGTGCTTGTCTTTCATCATGTCTAAGTTCATTGTGGCTGTGTTTAAGTCTGTTTAAGTGACACTCTGATGTTCCTTCTTATTTCAATTTAAGCCGGGCTTGTTCTTTCCCACTTCATTTCACTAACCTTTAATCAATTATTTTTTGAATATCACATTAGAAACACTGCGTTGACACATCATTAGCGACATTTGATATGATTTTTATTTTACATCAATGAATTCACTCTTCTATAAATTCAATATGAATAGTAATTAAATTGAATATTTACAAGTCGGTTCCATTATTTTTACACCAATGATCTAGCTTTCTATGAGTCGTGAAGGGGAGGGACACAACCCTCATTACCATTGCAGAAGTAAGAAAGGAATAACAAAATTGAAGTTATAAAGAGTGACTGAAAGGCGGTGCTATGTGTTTGGGCTACAGTAAGACAAGTGCACATAATTTCAAAAGTAATGAAGTAATTTAACCAGACTTTTATTAATTAAACAAAATAGTTTCCATTTTGTTTGTCAGGTCGCCCGGAGGGCCTTGAGCTCAGCCAACAGTCCCTGACTGCAACTAGTTAACTTTGACTTAATTCCCCACACCTTCAAAAGAAAGTCACACACCACAACATGGTTGATACGGAAGATAAGGAAACTTGGCAGCCCTGATTCAAATATCAGAAGTGATATTGGTATTAACTTTACACAGCGAAGCCATTATCCGACCAGGATATTCCTAGTATTAGCTGATAGCTGGAGAAAACCGAACGAATCAAAATAAAATTGGATGTAGAAATCAGAGTTCTGCGATGAGCGGGCGGCCTCCGCCCGGCAGCACCGAGCGCTCGTCGCCACAGCGCCCGGCCCGGCCCGTCTCTTCGTCGATGGGCCGGGTGGCCGCCCGGACCGAGCCCGGAGACGGGCGGATGGTCCGCCCGCTTCATTCGGCACTGCTTTGGCGTGGCGAGAGTAGCTGTCGGCCAGCGCCGACCCGCGCGGACCCCGCATAGGTGACTTCGGCACTGTTCAGATGTGACTGCCTGTGACTGCCGCCGCCACGCCACGCCAAGCACCGCAGCACACCGCCCATGACTGTCGCTCTCTCTCGCACACCTCAGGCAGCGGGCGGAGCCCGCCCGCCCATCGCAGATCTCTGGTAGAAATGCTTTCTGCTCAACTAGCCAACGGATAGACACAGTAGGATCCACGCCTCAGGTGCGGCGTGAAAGGGGAGACGGCCTGCTTAGAGTTAAGACGAGGCCCTGTGTCTTTCTGTCGTTGACAATTATTAATGCAGCCTGTCGCCGCTTGTTGATTGGCCTTCTCGTTATCAGTGTGACGCCGCTGCCCCTTCCTGACCCGCTATGAAACCATCGCCGACGGGACCATGGTGCACCGAAGTTCGATCAGATGTGTGGCGGTCGCGATGCCGTCTGCTGTGGTTTGTGTAGCATGTGTGTACCCATTTAGTGAAATTCCTCCTAAACGTACTGTGAAGTATAATTGAACATGCCTCTAAAATAATTGTATCTTTGTCGGATAACAGTGGGTTTGGCCATCTTGGGTCATCCGTACGTCAGCGCAGAAGTAGCGACTAACTCGTCAGAATGTGACGAGCACTCTAAACAGGTGAGTCGTGTGACGCTAAATGTCAATATTTGACTAGGGTATTCCGGGTAAGCTTGGCTCCGGATACGGATAGTGCTGGTCCGATCGCAGCGTCATGGCTTCTGTATACGTGCGTCTGTTACCCATTGATTGCTCTGTCGCGAAAGCGGCGAGATCTTGCTTCAGATTATTACGATTACGTGTAGTTATGCCAGTGAAAGTATTTTCAATGATGTACTCATTCAAAAGATCGCGATGGAAATCTAGACCACCACCTAACCTAACGCCACCGCGCAGCGCAGTTGACATCAGAACAGACGAGCGGATCAAGAAGACACGAGGCTGAGATCGGATCTCGACCAAATGAGACCGGGGGTGGATTGTAAAGGTATACCTCAGTAAAGTTCGAACTCTCCCCTTTCGCGCGATACCACTCATGCGGTTGGACAAAATATCGAACATCTCCGTAAAGTGCAAAGAAGACATGCGTGTGCTCGACCGGCACCATTTTGGATGAAAACTCCTGGAAACATTTTTTAAGTTTTTTCCTTCAACGTTTTCATAACCCTACCTTGCCTGTTATTCTGACCTGCCATAAGAGGTAGTTTTGAAAACTACAATTTTGGGCGTATTTTTTCTTGACTAAACACGCAATTTTACGGCCCTCTGGGTGAAAATTTTAACACGTTGAGTGCGGCGGGGGTAGGCAATCCTATGTTATTGTGACCCACGGTGTGGGTCACGCCGCACTGAACGTGTTAAGGAGAAGGCTCTATCTCAGCCGGTTTTCGAGCCACGAATTATTATTGGAAGGGAAAAGGTTGCTTATTTACAGCAATATGAAAACAATTCATATCATGCAAACCGGCAGAGATAGAGCCTTCTCCTTAAAATTTTCACCCAGAGGGCCGTAAAATTGCGTTTTTAGTCAAGAAAAATACGCCCAAAATTGAAGTTTTCAAAACCACCTCTTATGGCAGGCCAGAATAACAGGCAAGGTAGGGTTACGAAAACGTTAAAGGAAAAAACTTAAAAAATGTTTCCAGGAGTTTTCATCCAAAATGGCGCCTGGAAAACACTATTACAACCCAAGAATCGAAAATAAGCGATATACGACTTACCCTACTGCACAGGCATAGACGCGAAACTTTTTGATTATCGCTGGATTAAGACGCTTTCGCTATCGCTCAGACAATAATTATGTCCAGCTAAATGTGCGCCAGACCACGTCTCGCGTAACAGGCTTCGCGATATGTCACGAAACACTGTTACGCTGCGACGCGCCTGGCGCACATATAGCTAGCCCAGCGGCGCTGACACCCGAGACGAGTTAATAGAAAATACCGGCGGAAGATTTGGAGAAGACTCATGGAAAGAACAAAAGTCTAATGCGCATGAGCAGGCTATGGTGTGGGGTGGCTGGGCCGGGTGTCAGGCGGCACCCACCAGAGCCCGCGCATGCGTGAGGCTTTTGTTCTTGCAATGAGTCTTCCCTAAACTTGCCGCCGGAATAAATTATTCCGGTAAAGGCAAAATGCAGAAGAATGCGAGGAACAAGAAAACGGAAGTCCCATGTAAAAGGATAGTGATTTCCGTTTTCTTCTTCCTCGCATTCTTCTTCATTCTAGCTTTACCGGAATGCTTTATTGCCAAAAGTGTGTGGCTTAAGAACGTCTTCCTTTACAATTTTTCGATATGAAGCCTATTTTACGATTCAATAGACCTTGGTCATATTCACCTCATTTTCGCCAAGAAATGCCCCCTAGCACTCAAACGGTACAAGATAGAGCAAAATGAACCAAATCTTGAGGCCAAGCAATCGACTTTCTCGAGTTTACCCTTAGAAACTCAAAATATTTGAAAAGAATGACTTTGGGACTTCCGGTTGTTGATTATTGTAAGTCATTTATGGAACTAGAATGCTCATCTTCGAACTCGATCTCTCTTTTTAATGATACAAGATGACCCTGAAATTCCCAGATCGCCACAGGGCACTCCGGGGCTCGACTAGACCGGAAGGAGAAGAACAAAAATCGTCGGGCCGGTCGGGCGCGGGGAGGAGGTGGGCAGGGCGTCGTAACGTTACGAAATTGTTTTTGACCATTTTCCACATACGTCCATCCCCCCAAAAAAACGAATTTTATTTTAGCGCACAAGGACCAATTTGAGCACGATGAGTCATAAGGTAACGAATTTAAAGGGCCATCCGAACTGTAAAATGAGCTATAGTTTGTTAAAATATCTTGCACGGTTCCAGAGATATTTACAAAAATGTGGAAAATGGTCAAAAACAATTTCGTTACGTTACGACGCCCTGGAGCTGGGTACTGCCCCCACCCTGCCCCGCTCCTCCCCGCGCCCGACGATTTTTGTTCTTCTCCTTCCGGTCTAGCAGAGACCCGGAGTACCCTTATTGAGTTATAACTCAATAGACCATTCCGCTAAGCCGAAAAAGCAGAAGAGAAGGAAGAAGCAAGTACATTTTTTGGGACTAAATGGACCTTCTAACACATCATTTTACAACTCTTACATGTTCAAAATGATTTTTTAGAGCAAATGTGATATTTTTTAGACAGAAAATCGCCCCTATCAGCCCTAAACGATACCTTTGCTTCTTCCTTTTCTTCTTTTTCGGCTCAGCAGAATGGTCTATTTCTTCTCGAGTTATATGCGGACAGACAAACATACAAACAGAATGAAACTTTTTCGGTCAGTGGACTGATGGGCCTAGCTAATCGCTCAGCCAAAAATTTGTGCATACTTATCGCTGCTTAAAATAGACCCTATTCGGTCTCGGCTCCGGGAGCAGAAAATAGGAATCCCGACCGGAACCAGTACCTTTATTCCGCCATATCTTCGCGAGAAAACTTGCAAAGCTGCTATAAAAAATTATCAGAAACATTGTGGATGGTGCTTCTACCCACCAAAGCCACTTAAACGTTAAAATAGAGTGATTTTTTGTAACTGGTTCCGGTTGGGATTCCAGTTTTCTTCTCTTAGAGTCGAGACCGAATAGGGTCTATTCTGCATGTTTATGCACATTCAAATGCATAAGGGTTCAGTGTACAGAATGCAATGATTTCAGCTTCATTGTATGCCTGAAAGATGCACTCCCACATTAATTGTACATGGTGTTGAGTTGAGGCGAGATAAACACTGATCTGGCATCGGCAGTATTAAGGAGGAAAAAAGTTGCAATCAAGAAACGATCTTGAAAGCAGATGATGCAAATAGGGTATTCCCGAGGGGGAAATCACTTGCGAAACAGTTCGTACACCTTCCCCCGAAATAGTCCGAAATAAGGGCGAAATAGAGCGAAATAAAGACGAAACAGACGCGAAATAGTCGGTGAAATAGTCGCGAAATACCCCTAAAATACTCCGAAATAGCGCGAAATAGCCTGAAATAATCCGAAATAGGCGGGAAATGGCCGAAATGGCAGGGGAAATAACCGAAATGGTAGGAGAAATACTACGAAGTAGTCCGTACGCTACGAACCCTAGTGATTTCCCCCTCGGGTATTCCGCTGCAAGCCAAGCGGAACCTAGAAGAAGAGCATGACTGTCCGATCTGTTGCCTCCTGAACGCTGATTGGTCAACAATGACCTCGGTGTGGCGGTCAGTTAATGAGCGCGCAGAGGGAAGCAGATTGAGCAGTCATGCTTTTCTTCGCTAGGTTCCGGTTGGCATGCAGAGGAATACCCTATTAACAAGCTGGGCCCGCTCTTCCGCCAAACCAAGTTGCCAGCTC